TAATGATGATCTGCTGCTACACCCACGCACATAACTGCTGGCACTATGGCTCAGCAAACACATGACAAGAAACGTGATTGAAAACACTGCACTTGTTTGTAATCCATCGTCAGGTTTTCATAACAATCGCTGCCAGTAGCCTCCCACGAACAATGCACTAAAACAAAGAACTCACTGTAGACGCTAGACAACTTAATGTACGGCGCGACGGCGCACCCGAGATTGGTCAGTGAGAAATTGCTGCAACGGCTTAATCGACGGAGCTACAGCTGGGAACCTCGCACCGTAACTATGATAGCGAATCTCTGTGAACCACAGGCTCCCACAATTTTCACTGATTTGAAGCGGTGCTCGACTTGACAAACAATCTCAAAGTTTGTAAGCAGCTGACAATGAGCACGTCTGCTAGACGACAAACAGAACACTCCAAGTGAGAGACGTGACCTGACCTGAGCGATATTTGCATGCTCAAATTTGGAAATTGATAATGCTTGCATGCATGGTTTGGACTCAGGGCATCTGCTAAACGAAGCTTATCACGTCACCCCGTACACCCAGCTCAAGGTGTGCCGTTCCCATTCGTCAAACATTTCTGCCTCGTCTTTCTCTCCGACGGACGTGCAGAAGGTCTGGCGCGCCGCGCACTTCCGCAGCAGGGCCGCCTCTCGCAATGCGCGACAGGGCACCCTGAACTACACAGCCCATGCGCAGCCCATCGGCCAAACTGCGGGCCAAACTGCGCAGACCACGCGCAGCCCATCGGCCAAACTGTGGGTCAAACTACGCAGACCATGCGCAGCCCATCGGCCAAACTGCGGGCCAAACTGCGCAGACCACGCGCAGCCCATCGGCCAAACTGCGGGTCAGACTGCGCAGGCCGTTACTCACGATGCTTCAGGCCGGTGAGACGGCGCCAGCCGCTGTGGTATGCAGCCTTTCATCAACTGTTAGGTGAAGAGATAATAAAGGTAAACAATACGCCTCGCTTGAATGGCTTGGCTCTGTCGCCAGCCGGCGTATCCTTTATTTCACCTCGCATTCCAAAGCGTACGCCACGCACGTGTCTTGCAGTAGCGCGGCAGCCAAGTAAAATGTCATGGCGAGGCCGGCACATTGAGTTATATGCGTACACCATTGGTAAGTGGTTACATGCTGCTTTTAGTCGTAACATCGAGTGTCCAATCACGATATGCGATGCTTGTATACATTTGGATAAACAAAATTTGAAGCGCTGTGAACACATTGCTACCAAGCCAAGTTTAACATCTTGATAATTGATAGCATGTTGCGGGTAATAGAATATCTTGCTCGGTTCAGACGCGGTCGCGCTCGGTTTAAACATGGCAGCGCTCGGTTCAGACGCGTTAACGTTCGGTTCAGACGCAGCAGCGTTCGGTTCAGACGCGGCAGCGCTCGAGTCAGACGCAGCAGCGCTCGGTTCAGACGCGTTAACGTTAGGTTCAGACGCAGCAACGCTCGGTTAAGACGCGTTAACGTTCGGTTCAGACGCAACAGCGCTGGGTTCAGACGCAGCAACGCTCGGTTCGGACGCGGCAGCGCTCGGATCAGACGCGGCAGCGCTCGGATCAGACGAGGCAGCACTCGGTTCTGACGAGGCAGCACTCGGTTCAGACGCGGCAGCGCTCGGTTCAGACGCGTTTACGCTTGGTTGAGACGCAGCAGCGCTCGGTTGAGACGTGGCAGTGCTTGGTTCAGACGCGGCAGCACTCGGTTCAGACGCGACAGCACTCGGTTCAGACGCAACAGCGCTTGGTTCAGGCGCAGCAGCGCTCGGTTCGGAAGCGTTTACGCTCAGTTCAGACGCGGTAGCACTCGGTTCAGACGCGTCCAATCCTCGATTCAGACGCAGCAGCGCTCGGTTCAGACGCGGCAGCACTCGGCTCAAACGCAGCAGCGCTCGGGTCAGACTCGTCCACGTTCGGTTGAGACGTGGCAGCACTCGGTTCAGACGCGTCCAACGCGCGAGTCATACGCAGCAGCGCTCGGTTCCGACGCGTCCAACGCTCGATTCAGACGCGGCAGCACTCGGTTCAGACGCGGCAGCACTCGGCTCAAACGCAGCGGCGCTCGGGTCAGACTCGCCCACGCTCAGATGAGACGCGGCAGCACTCGGTTCAGACGCGGCAGCGCTCGAGTCGGACGCGGCCGGTCCAGCGCAGTCGGCACGGTAACAGGTGGCGCTTGGCGATAAGCCACGGCGGCAGGCGCGCGACCGTGACATGCAGCGGCCGGCCTGAGCGGCGCGGGCGCGTCCCGCCGGCGCCGCCGTCACGCTTGTGATTGGGAGGTGTCAACTCTGGCGGCCGCTGCATAGATCAGCTCCGGGGCAGCGCGTGACTGCAAAGGCTTTACTGCGGCCGTGGCCGTTGGCAACAACTTTGAAACACGCCGCGTGTGCTAAGCGGGAGAAAACGACGTGCTTCTAGCCTACAATAGATATGATTTTCGCATTACCCGCAGCGCCACATGTATAACAAAAACCTTGCAACACAATTACGTAAGTAAATAAATATCCATATCACGGTGGTTTAAAATCAGAGACACGCGAGTGGTGAGGAGAAGCAAGTACATGTTTAGTACTGTAAGTACTAAACTGCAAGTACTGTTTTATTGTAGGTTTCAGGTAATTTGAGGTGCAGGGATCGGGACAGGCCAGTGTAGTAAGGTTGCCCACTTTTTAATGGGAAACCCATCCAAGATCCTATGGCTTTCCGTGGTCGATCTGACATTCAGCATAGTCGTTAGATATGCGGGGAGAGATACCTCTCTCGTAAATGTGAAACCTTTTACAGATTAGATAACTTCAACCTTGTCAAATATCTATGAAATTGATTTCGTATGTGGCCTATAGACGCTGCGCATGAAACTAATCGGAGCTCCTAGTGCGCTCCCGAAGATTTCGCAAGGACCCTAGGACCTCGGAACAAACCATGCAAATGGCTTGCATGGATGCAACGCTAAATCGTTGAGATGCACCAATATACATAATGGGCTTTAGTTTTGGGCCACACTCAATCCACCTCTGGTGTGATCACCGGTTCCCTGAGAAAACAGAACTGTTTGGTTTTGTTTTCTGGACGCGGTATGATCAAAGACCTTGGCATTGACAACCATATTGATTTACTATGGCTTCAAGTGACATCTGACGTCATGGAGAGCCTGGAGTCCGGAGAAGTGCATTTGCGGCAAATACGACCCAGGAGTATCGATTTCATGTAAATTAGCTAATTGTGTTGATAAATTTCGGCAAAAGCCAGCACCGGAAATTGCAAAACGGCTGAAAGTAAATAACAGGTCGTCAAACTCAATTTTGTCGTGCCGGGATCAGGAAATGCATCAAAGGCTGTGAGCGGTCCACATGGATTTTATCTCCAGTGGGCCCCCGATACACGACTGATTCGGGTGCTGAGCACGTGTCCACATTTTCTTGACCGCTTATTGACATGCTTGTTGGTTGGTCGGTGACAGGAAATATGCGCGAAGGACGAGCCGTCTATGTCACGCGGACCATTAAATCCGTCCGACTAAATTCTGTCCACCAAGTTCAGTAGCGACCGAGTGAGGAGACCGGATTCATTCGAAGCGTCTAGAAAAAGCCCGCGGGTCTTACAAATGTTTGTAAACTGTGTGCTTTAACTTATCTTCTACTACATCGCGATTTGGTAAATATATTGTAAGGCAGCAGTAAGACCATTCACACCTAAACACGGACATCCCCGTTGCAAAATAATTGTAGGTAAAAAAATGCTCTTAATTTTTTTAAAAATTTTTTACTATTTAACAATGTGCAAATGACGCCATTGACGCCAGCGCTGGCCAAATGTACTCGCTCCAGTCAATTGATAAAGTTAGAGAAGCATGATGAATGGTACATCAAAACATGTTGAACATCATGCTGTTATTGAGTCACTGGCTTGCAGAAGTTAGATTCAGGAAACATTTGTATGTAACATTTTTATATTTGTTACAATTGCTTAACTAAAGAACTGAACAGCGCTGTGTTTGTCAATGAGGGTTGTTATCGTCAGGTTCCGCATACATTTTCCAGTACATTTATGTATAACACTTTGTGCTGATGTTCAGGAGGGATTAGCGGCAGAATGAATATTGGTTTCGAATTTTGCTTGTAAAGGCCGAATAATGATAACCTTCATTCCCATACATTTTCCGGAAGCTCTTAAAAACTAAAAAGCCTCCATTTTCTTAGGACGGGATATATATATATATATGTATATATATATATATATATATATATAATGTGCGTGTGTGCATATGTGTCTTGCTAAGTGTGACAGTATGTATAGTCTTATTGTTGTTTCTCCACCACGGCGAAGTCCGCGTGCGTGCCCTTGGTCGTTTGTTCTAGGCTTCGTATCGTACGTTTGTCGTTCTCGGTGTGTCGATACAGAACGTTACCAGAGTTAAGTTATTTTCTCAACGCTCCAATCAGTTTCATGATCATTTTCAAGATAATTACTTATCTTTAAACATGTAGTCGGAAGAACAGTACGTATGCAAAAGTGTGGTTTCATCGTATGTGCCTACAAAATACATGTTCGAGACATTTTAAAAATAGCGTTTGCATGATGCATGCTCTAAATCCAGACACAATTCCGGGTGCTTGGAAGTTTTAAATTTTGCAATATCAAGGTAAAATTTTACTGGTCTCGTAAATTTGTAGTAAGGAGGGGGGAGATAAATGCTATCTGTCGGATGGCGTTGAGTGGTAGTGGCGCGGGCCATTTGTTTTTGTGTGTGGTATTTTAGCGTGCAAACGGCTGTGGCGTACAACCAACAATGTACTAGAGAAAACATGCTCCCGAAATGCTCCAATACACAGAAATGCATATTATATATATATATATATATATATATATATATAATGAACATCTCCGACAACTCGCAGGTGCAGCATGAGCCACCCGTGTGGCACAGACCCTGAGGGGCGCGGCCGGCGGGCGTGTCCGGCGGTGACGTACCTGGCTGGCCGCTGGCGGCGTCTCTGGCGCAGCGCTGACCGCACACCCCACGCTGCAGCGGCGCGCCGCAGACTGCTGCGCGCCCGTCCGTCGGCCGCCGGCTGCAGCTGCTGGCAAGTCTGGCCGCCGCCGGCCGGGGCCCTGCTGCACCGCTGGGCTGGGAGTTCGCCGGCCCACCGGCGGAGCGAGCACCGGGTGCTCCTGCTGCCTGATGTTCAGCCTGATCCCTGCTCCAGGAGGACGCGGAACGGGCGGGGTGCGGGGCTCGGTTTGAGTCGCTACCGCGTGAGCTGCGGGACGCGCCGTGTGTGCGTCGGCGAATTCCGCTTCGAACCGGGTTCAGTATCACGGCTACGTCATATTGAACCTGACAGCCCCGGAAGCTTTCATGGTGACCTGTGGTGGAAGAACTCCAGGCCACCGATGTGGATATTGCCGGCACGTATGTGCATACATGTGTCGGCGGTGTCGGCACCGGTCCGCGCCAGAGACTGAACTCCACACCAAGGTCAGGGCCGATGGTCTATCGAAGCGTGCTCACCACGAGAGAAGGCCAGCCGGTGTATCGCAAGTCCTCCGGATACCGAAACGCGTCCAGATTGACATGGGTCTCGAATGCCGGATGTACAACAAACCGGTGTAGGTGTTGGCATCTCGATTGCGATAAGGCGCGTGAGCCTTATCGTATTTAAGCATGCTAATTGATTGTTTGACATGACTGCTAAGCAAGTAATTAGCATGCGCAAACGAGCATGGCCATTTCTTATGTCACCACTGCAGTCCATGACATTCAATTCATTCGTAATGGCATCTTCCGAGCTGTAAGAAAGCTTAACCTAAATGGGTAGAAAAGGTTAGCGGAGGCGGGAATGCTACCCACCGCCACCCTCCCTGAACCAACGTAGCACCGTTCACGCAGCTTCAGTACACAAAAGAACGGATAAAACACACGACTGATGTCGTCAGAAATAGGACGGCCATGATTCTCTGGTTCTGTGTCTGAATCGTTAAAACCATCTCGCATAATGTGCAGATTTCTATCACACCCACCCACCACGAATGGAAAAGAATGCGTCGAATACCTGTTTCTAGCATCATTAAGCATTTCTGTGTCGCCCACCAGCTGTTTTTTGCTGTGTTCGTCGGCCTAGGCCACTCAATCCATCACCACTACCGCCCACAGGCGGCGGGAATGGCGGCGACGCTGCCGGTATTCCGCCCACCAGGAGATACGGATCAGCTGATCCATCAGGCCGACACGCTGACAGGCTCTCCTGTTCGGGCTCATGAGACGGCCGCGAATCCGAGCTGCGGCTGGGAACACAAGCGGCGACTGTGGTCATCGCTAACAGAATGTTCCACCTTGCGGTGCATTTAATAGCCATTGCAGCGATCTAACACAATGACCTTCAAGTAACAGCTTATGTCAAGATCCAAATTTGCGCGATTTGGGCTTTTGGTCGGGTCAAGCAATGTCTGAGGCAGATTTCGTATCTAGACATAGCAGCACAGCGAGCGAGATCCTCATGAGTTGAATACATATGGGATTTGTGATGACAGCAGAAGGTCCAACTGATTTCAAGCCTTCACCACTCGCTCCCACACACCAACAGGGTACCCCTATCTATGAAATAAAGCTGCACTAGGTCAGATCAACCGCCATGAAAAACAACCCCGCGCCAGCCAATACTGGAAGAGCCAACGCCATGCTCTGAGCTTAGCCGACGTGACGCATTCATTATCTTCACATGATAAATAACAGTCGTTCTTAAGACATTTTAAAATGACGCGCTCTCGGGACCACCAGCCTTTCAAATTACCACTTTTTGCCAATGATGTTACCACAACTGAAGACCAAAATTTTGCTTAACCTCTGGGCAGTGCAAATCAGGTTCGACATTCGGTTGGTGTGGGCAAGCACCACTCACTATGCTACGATTTTCAAGAACCGAAATAGTTACGGTACAGTACCTTTTACATCAGAGTACATTCATATCTTCGTCCCGCTTTTCAAAACCCATGGTGCCATCCTCGGCTGTACAGCACGCTAAAAAAGTAAAATCAAGCTTAATTCAGAAAGTCACTTAACTTTTAATTGTACGTGATAACCACTCAACATCACAAAAAACATTTCTGGAAGGTTGTTAGTGTAAGATTGGGCCGTGTCCAAAAAACTGCGTGATTTTAAGAGAGTTTGCAGTGCTCCAGACGCACCTAACCAGCGGATCAAATCACTTATTTCAACGCTGTTGAGAGGAACATTGAGAATTAAACTGTTGATCGCATGTCAGATATTTCTTCGCAATTACGTGGAAAAGGGAATATCCACGTTAAATTGCGTGCCGCACTTTGGCCACTGGCCTTCTTCGAACCTGTAAAAGTATTACGGCATACCTGTAATACTCTTAATACATGCGGCCTGTAACTGGATCTTAAATGTTCGTGACTTGTAACTGCAATATTTGACCTGCAGACCTGCAACACCTGCAATAATGTGACTGCTGTAGTACTACATCTTTTAAAAAGACCAGTGACACGCAATTACAGCTTAGAATTGCATTAATACACTTCATTAATTTCTCTACATAATTATTACGAAACTGTGGTAAAATTTAAACAACATTGCCGACGACACAAGTTGTATCTCCAGCATTGCTGGTCTCGATACTTTAACTCGAGAAGATCGCAAAATTGTACGTAGGGGCTCACCGGACCTTGCTTTTTTACTACTCAACTTACCTACCTCATTGCAGGACACAAATCATGTAAATTCATCTGGGGTAACCAGACAGTATGTCCCCTCTTTTTTGTCGATAAGCTGATAATTGTGAGCCTTCGCAGGGTTTATTGGTTGGCGTGCAATGTGTTCAAAATGGGCGCGCCCCCAGCAATCTGAAGTGTTGCACCCAGCAGTCTGGAGTGTCAGCTACGGCCACAGTCACGGCGTGATAGGCCGCAGGTCGGCGTCCCCGTCGACTTCACGGATCGGCGGCTCGGAAACATCTGCCCAGCAGCATTGGAAATGGCCACAGGATGTTCATGTTCAGCAACATGAGAATCGGTCACAGAATGAGAACAGACCGAGGCCGGAGGCCGTCTTCACTATCGTAAAGCATAGCAATTATCATCGTTTGCTTCAGTCGGCGGTGACATCAACGGTTCAACGTTCAACAACGTTCGCCCAGAGAACGTGAGACTTTTGCTAAGAAACTGCGCTGTTTAATGTCAGAACATTCCGAATACAGGTGCTCGGTAACTATTCCATGTTTACATCACATACGCAACACAACACGTGGATACAGCCGTCTAAACTAAACGATCCAGTAGCCAAGAACCGGCCAAAATATGGTCCCGTGCAAGGCAACGGTTAGCCTAGCCCGTTTCCACGCTGGCTTGCATTCGACTGGCACCTTAATTGGTCCCGCCACACCGCACAGACATTATATTCCAAAATGTACGGTAAATACGATAAACATGGTACGGATCGTTTGACCTGACTCGCTCCAAAAAAGCCGGTAGACTTTACTTAAGAAACGTTTTTGTTTCGTCATTATACAGCATTTTACGTTCGCCTATTTGGTCCGATTGAACCAAACCATCGAATATTGCAAACGCGAAATGACAAATGGGTACATGACGACACAGAAACGTCTCCGAAATAACAAACACGTTTTTTGACAGCCTTAAAGACGAGCTATTAGCTTTTGCTACGCTTTGTGCGGTTCAGATTTGGTACCAAATTAGATTCCTACCCAATAATGTTCGCGTGAAAAAGACTCACAGATACTTTATTTACGGGCGTCCACGTGGTGGCTATTATGCACCCATTCACTCATGTAAAAAGCACATAAAACGACACACCCACACTGGCACACATAGACACGTACAGCCATGGGGTCAGCGCTCTAAAATGGTTCCAAGGCGCGGCGCGAGGGAACGTGAACGGGTGCCGGAGGCAGACGGCTCCCGCTGGCGGCGCACGCGAAGAACTATCGCTGGGTGGCAGCCAGCCGGACACCTGGGAGGTGCAGTGTACCAGCGCCGCTCGCCACCGCCCGAAACCGACGCTGGCAGGCCTCATGGCTTGTGATGGACATCGCACGCCACAGGTCGAGCGCGACGCTAGCAGGCCTCATGGCTTGTGATGGACATCACTCGCCACAGCTCGAGTGCGACACTAGCAGGCCTCATGGCTTGTGATGGACGTCGCACGCCACCGCTCGAGTGCGACGCTGGCAGGCCTCATGCCTTGTGATGGACATCGCACGCCAGAGCTCGAGTGCGACGCTGGCAGGCCTCATGCCTTGTGATGGACATCGCACGCCACAGCTCGGGTGCGACGCTAGCAGGCCTCATGGCTTGTGATGGACGTCGCTCGCTACCACTCGACACCGACGCTAGCAGGCCTCATGGCTTGTGATGGACATCACTCGCCACAGCCCGAGTGCGACACTAGCAGGCCTCATGGCTTGTGATGGACGTCACTCGCCACAGCTCGAGCGTGACACTAGCAGGCCTCATGGCTTGTGACGGACATCGCACGCCACAGTTCGAATGCGACACTAACAGGCCTCATGGCCTGCGATGGACATTGCACGCAAAGCGATGGGTGACCCGCTTAAATGCAGGGCACGGTACACGTCCAGACAGTCGTGCCGGTGCACCGCATCAGTCACAGTAATCCATTCTGAGGCCACCAGAGCAGGCGAGACATACCAGCAAGCGGCGGACGCGCGTCACCAGCCTGGCGGCGAAAAAACAACCTGCTGCACCCTGTCTGGGTGACGGTTGCCCCGTCTTCTCCCCCCCTCCCCCTCCCGAGGCAGGCAGACGATTCGGTATGTGGGGACTACGTACATTTAGACAAGGAGATTCAGGAAGTCAAAGACGGCGGCGGCGAAGACGGCGGTCGACTACAGACCAGACTCGTCCACTGCACGAGCAGCCGACTGCAGGCCGGACTGGCCCACTGCACGAGCGGCCGACTGCAGGCCGGACTGGTCCACTGCGCGAGCGGCCGACTGCACACCGGACTGGTCTACTGCACGAACGGCCGACTGCAGGCC